ACCCCTAATGTTGCCCCCCCCCCCCTCTACTAACCTCTCTGCTACAGATTTAGCATCATTTTTCAGAGAAAAGATTAACGATATCCAACATGAAATCACCTCCCTTACCCCCTCCCTAACTCAACCTACCCTCTGTCCAGTCTCATCCTCTTCACTCACTGGCTTCTCCCAAGTTTCCAAAGTAGAGGGTTCTGCTTTTCTCCTCCCCTACCACCTGTCTCCTTGACCCCATTCATACCTTATCTGTCATCTCTCCTCTGATTGACTCTTCTCTCACCAAAATCTTCAATGTTTCTCTAACCTCCGGCATCTTTCCCTCTTCCTTCAAACATGCTTTAATCACGACCCTGAAGCTTTATCTAGCTATCGCCTCATTTCTCTTCTTCCCTTTGCTTCCAAACTCCTTGAAAGACTGGTATATATCTGACTCAAAGACTACCTGAACTCCAATTGCCTACTTGACCCTCTTCAATCTGGTGTTCGGCACCAACACTCCATAGAGACTGCCTTTACCAAAATGACCAACGACCTAGTGACAGCCAAACCTAAAAGGACATTATTCACTTCTTATTCCTCTTGACCTTTCTGCTGCTTTTCACACTGTCGACCACACGCTGCTCCTACTCACCCACTGCAACCTTGGCATCAATGGCACTGCTCTTGCCTGGTTCTCTTCCTATCTATCTGACCGTTCATTTAGCATTTCCTTCTCTGGCTCCACCTCTCTCTGTTGGAGTCCCACAAGGTTCTGTACTGGGTCCTCTTCTATTCTCACTCTACACTGCCTCTCTTGGTAACTTTAACTCATCATACGGCTTTCATTACCACCTCTATGCTGATGACAGTCAGATCTACCTCTCCTCACCGGATCTTTCCCCCAATCTGTTGGCTCGCGTAACTGATTGCCTATCCGCTTCAAAATGGATGACTACCCGCTTCCTCAAACTGAACCTCTCTAAGGCCAAAATCCTTGGGTTTCCTCCCTGTAAGGCTACCCCATATCCATCTCTCTTCAGATTGATGGAGTTATCATTTCCTCTAGTCCGCAGGCACGATTCATTGGCGTGCTTTTTGACTCTGACCTCTCCTTTTCCCCTCACATTCAGTCTATGACTAAACCGTGCTGTTTTCATCTGAAAGAATCTCTAGAATGTGACCATTTCTCAATGAGGAAACCACCAAAATGCTTGTCCATGCGCTAATCATTTCCCGACTTGACTACTGCAACTTTCTTCTCATCGGCCTGAAATGTGCCCAGATTCCCCCGCTTCAATCCATCATGAACGCTTCAGCCAGACTCAGCTACCTTACTTCTCACTACTCTCATACGTCAATCTTGGCACTGGCTTCCGGTTTCTTTTAGGGTACACTTCGCACTTCTCAGCCTTACCTACAAAGCTCTGCATACCCATGCACCAACTTACATTTCATCACTAATTAGAAGATATGCTCCAAATCGGCCCCTTCATTCCATTAATGACCTGGGACTATCCTTCTCATTCACCCGGACACCAAACTCACGTCTACAGGACCTCACCAGGGCTGCCCCCGTCTTATGGAATTCTCTCCCACGCCACATCAGGCTCTCTCACCATCCCTACAAGACTTAAAAATCCCTCAAAATGAACTTCTTTAGAGAAGCGTATCAGCCCTCCCCTTGATTTCTCACCCTATACAACCTCCCCTTCTGCTCCTGTATCACAGTACTCCAAAATCCTGTCTTCTCAATTGCCTAATCACTTTGCCCACATGGAGCTTGAGCATTTGGCAATATAAATTATTCCAGGTGTGCTGCAATTTATGAAGGACTACCAAATCATCTACATTCGAATTTCTAAATTCCTTAATAGTGGGCATAACAAATATGTGGTTTAACTTAATTT